TGCAGCCTAAGGTAATATGAGGCTGGTGGGAAAGGCTTGATACATACAGGCTACGTGAAGCAGCTGTCACATCTTGAGCCAAATGCCTTCTGCGAAGAGTCCATGGCCACGGTCCACTTCCTATTGAGCTTAGCCTGATTACTCTGACTTGAAGTGGTGGGAGGGGGAGCTCACACCAAATAGTCAAGTTGTTTCTTTAACCTTGAACTCTTGGACCTTGAGGATTCATTTGCTCTCTTGCCTGTCTTCAGGACATCCAAGCTAGGTAGAAATCCATCTCTGTTTTTAACAGCTCCAGAGGCAAAAACTAGTGGTAATCTGTTCTCCAGTTTCTGAATACCCTTGCCAAGGTCAACTAGAAAATAGGCCCTTGTAACCCAGAGTTTCTAAAAAGCACATTTGACAAATTGAGTAATGAGTCAACCAGTAGGAAAAATAAAGTCAGAAATCACCCTGCTTCTGGAAAGACTGAGCATGGGGTCATTGGAGGCTGAGGGAGTGGACTGTAAAGGAGGTGCAGAGGCCAGAATCCCAGAGAGTGTGCTCTGGGGCTCTACTTGGGGGAACTGAGGGTCTCTGTCACGCACAAGACCATCAAAAGCATGACATACAAAGGAACATTTGTGCTGTGCCCTCAGAATAAACTCGAATGAGGTTATTCACAAGGAATGATTGTCATCAATGTCTCGTCATTGAAGTCTTTCCCTTTCTTGGTGCCTAGAGTGGATGACCCTTGAGATGGCATATGGTGCTCAGAGACAAAGGGCATCACTTACCATCAAGAAGGCATGTCGTGAGGGAAGAGTGGGAGGACAAAGAAGTACCATGCAGAAAGAACTAGAATAAAAATATAGTCTTGCTGTAGGTAAGGAGACAAAGCTTCTAATTAGGTTATGGGAAATAATATTTTATCATATTAAAAAATAACTTTAATCATTTTAACATTTACTGAGCAGCTCCTAGGCGGGGAGCCCTTAGCTGGGCAACAAGACACGATGCCACGTTCCCTGGAAGTGTGAACAGCTCACTGAAGGAGACCTGCGTGAGCATTCTACGGCGATACAGCACGAAAGGCACTAAGAGAGGCGAGTAGGTGAGGCTCACGGGGCAGGGACACTTAATACTCCAAGAGAGAAAGAGGAGCTTATAGAAGAACAGCACAGAGAGATCGTGGCACATCTGAGGACTTTCATGCGTGCTACATGGATTTAGCAGTCCACTGGCATTTGCAGACTGAATATTCATGGATGAACACCGTCTCCACTGCGTGATCTGAAAGGTCTCCACCATGAGGTAATTGCTGAGACACAAATTTGAATGGCTTGCCAGGATGCCACAGCGGACTCACCAGCCACTTAGCTGGTGAATGGACCACACCCGATGGCTGGCATTCATGTCCCCACACAGCTCAGCTCTTCTCTTCTCTTTGACATCTATGAAGTCACACTCCTACTGTGGCTACGATTTTTTTTTTTTTAATTTGATTTGCAGAGCCAGGGAAACATGGAGTTAATAAGGTACAGATGTCATGAAGTAAGGAGTTTATTTTAATGGAAAAATTTATTTAAGTCACTTTAGAAATCACCTTGGTTCCCTCTTTATAGAACCATTAAGAGTTTAAAAGGATCCCTTACATTTTTCACACTTTACTGCTTTTTATAGTGGAAATGATATGTCATGGTGACATTCATGATTTTGGAGGCTCATGAAGGTCATGGATGAACCCTTTGAGAATGTCAAGGGTCTAGGTCTGTGAATAATGAGTTATATTTCATTGGTACTCTACAAGGCCTCACTTTAAATTTGGAAAGTAGGTATATTCTCCTTTATATACTTTATCTACCACTTGGAGAAGGCTGCCATTGCTCTGCCCAGTTTACCAAGGCTTAATATGTGCTACCAGAAGATCAAGGATGATATTTATCCACGACACTGCAGCCTGACAACAATTAACTACATTCCGCCCATTGAGTGCTTTTCTCTCGGTCAACTTCCTGGAACCTCATAACTGCTGGGACTCAAACTCTGGCCCCGCCCCCCAAATACCCTCCCCGTACTTCAAACTTAGTATGACAACCCACAATCTCAATCTGCTTCCAATTCTGTCTCCTTGTTTTGACTATTACTAAATCAAATGTATTTATTGCTGAAGCCAGGAAATTCAGAGTTGGCCAGACTCTTTCCCCAACATCTAATCAGTTACCAAGTAAATCGATTTTACCTCTTAAATGACTCTCAAATGCAGCCAGGCCTCTCCAGCCCCATGGCACTGCCCTAGCTCTGGGCCAAATCATCTATCATCACAATACCCTGACCCCCTGCGTTGAAACCATCCTTGCTCTATCCTCCAAAAGGATACCGGGTAATTTTTCTCAAACTGCAAACCTTGCACTCATTGGCTTCCAGTGAAGATCAAGATAGCGTCCTATCGATAACTGGTTCCTGGCCAGTGACTCAGATGCCCTCGGTCTGCACCCAACACTGAGAAACACCTTGGCTGTGAGCTCTTTATCTCCCTGAGTACGCTGCATTCTTGCAGACCTCTATGCACTCTGCATTTGCCCAACTCTTGTCCTACACTGCCTGAAAACTCTCGTCTTCTCCGAGAGCCTCTCACAGTACCTTCAGGATCCAATTCAAATGTCACTACTCCAAGAGAGCCACGGCTGTATCTCGTAGGGGCTGGCCCATCTGGCCCCCCACAGTACTGGATACACACCACTATTGTGTATGTGTCACAGCACACGCTAACATCTTGTTAACAGGTCTGTCTCCAGTGATCCGTGAGCTCCCGTTCATCTCTGAATCCTAGTGTGTAGCACGATGCTCGGCCCCTGTCAGGAAGTCAGTGAGCATCTCCTGAATGAAAGGATTGAGTGATTGAGATCTGTAGCGAGGTAATAACCGAAGCGTGTTATCAAAAGGCAAAAACGGCTTTTTTGTTAACTACAAAGTGAATCAAGGTGCCAGAAAAGTTAAAACAAGGATGAAGAATGCTTTTATCCCAACCGACTTTTAAATTACTCATCACATCTGTCCTAGCTAAAGACTAACGGTAGTCAGCCCCCTGCAGACTAGGAGTCACTGTTTCACACTTGGGCACCAGATCCTGCAACATGTTCTATGATCAGAGAAGAAATACTTAAAGAAAAGCTATTGGGCTTTTAAATGTAAAAAGATGCCCAGAAAGAGCATTTGCTAAACATCATTTCCCATCTGGTACATCGGACCACAATATCCCAGGCATGGCTTGGGTCATACTGCACACAATGTCCAATACCTACAGTAGCGGTGTAACATAGGGCCATGACAGTGAGGTTGCTCTTTCTTTAGTCCTTCATTCATTCACAGACGACTTGCGGGTCAGCCCCCACGTGCTGGAGAAGCTAGGACAAGGGTGGGCCCCTGAGATTCCAGGCTTACTACAGACCGGTGTCCTGGACTTGCATCATTAAGCCGTTACTATTTAAATCCAGCCTGGTTCCAAAAATGTTCCCAAGTTCCCCTTGTTCTTAGCAGGTCACAGGCTACCCTGGGTAACCTCAAGAAGGCTGCTCAGCGTTCTAATCCAGCTAGATGGCCATGCGGGCACGACCTGGCTCCAGGACACAGGTACGATCAAAACGTCGTGTTTAGGGTGAGTCCACCGCTGTTCTGATGCCCCAGTGTGGGGGGTTTTGTTGAAAGAGCATTTTCTGAGAAAGAAAAGATTTAGATGAAGGCAGGAGATGAGTAAAAGCTGAGCTCATGCTAGAACCCAAACTCTTGGCATTTTGGTGACGCGGTGTTAGGGCTCAGGGGTGGGGGAGGCGGTTCCCTGGGCGCCCTCCCTACGTCTGGTGGCGGAGAGAAAAGCTTCCAGAGCAAATCCAGTCCGGGAAAGACGTAAACCCACCGCACTCGGAGCCGCTCCCGGAAGCTTCCTCAAGGTAGGGTACCAGGGGAGCTCAAGCCTAACTCCAACCTAACAAACCACATTACAATAACCCACCAGCCGAAGACAGCCGCTCCCCTAGCCCCCGGCGGCCCCAGACGGGCACCCACCGGACTCGGGAGCGCAGCGCCCACCGCGGCCCCACCCGGGCCCGGCCGGAGACCACCCCCCCAAACCCCACGCCCACCCCGGCACCACCTACCGCAGCCCCGCCCCGCGCCGGCCCCACGTGCAGGGCCCCACCCCGGCGCCCGCGGCCCTTTAAACACCCCCCCCTTACACACCATCACCCCCCGCCCGCCACCCGGACGGCAACCGGAGAGGGACAAAACTCATGGCGTACAGCCAGGCTCCTCCGCGGATCACGTCCCGGGCAGCCCGGCCCGAGGGGCCCTCCACCCCCGGCCGCAGCCCCCCGGCGCCCCCCAGCCCCCAGCGGCCGAGCAGGGGAGTGCGGGGCGGGGCCCGCGGCCGCGCGGGTCTCCGCCGCCGCCCTCGCCGCCGCCGCCTCCGCCTGCCGCTCGGGCCGCCCGCTCGCCCGCCGCTGGGTGCGCTGCACGCGGGGGGCAGCCGCGGTGCAGAGGTTCATGCAGCGGCGGCGGCGGCGGCTGCTGCTGCTGCTGCTGCCGCCGCGGAGGCAGACAGACCGGGCGCTGCCGCCGCCGCCGCCCTTCCCCCGGCTCCATGCCGCCGCCGCCGCCGCCGCCGCCGCCTCCTCCTCCTCCTCCTCTCCGGCGAGGGGCGGGGGGCTCCGGCCCCGGGTGGGCACCGCTCCGCGCAGCGCCGCTCCCCCCTCTGCCCTCGGCGGGGGCGCCCGCCGCCTCCTAGGAGCGCACGCTCCGCGCGCCCTGCCGGAGAGAGGGGGCGGGCGTGGGCGGGGGCCGGCGGGCGGGCGTCGGGGCGGCGGGGACCCCGCGCTGCGGCCGGAGGAGGGGGCTTCCCCGGAGGATGCCCGGCGGCGGCTCCCCGCTCCCGGGCGCGAGCTGAGCCGGACCCGGAGCGGGCGGCGCGTCGCCATGCCGGCGTGACGGACGCCCCCGGCTGCCCGCGCGGGCCCCCGCGCTGCCCCACGCCGCGCCGCGCCGGCGCCGGGCGGCAGGATGGGCTGTATCCAAAGCATCACCTGCAAGGCGCGGATCCGGCGCGAGAACATCGTGGTGTACGATGTGTGCGCCACCATCGACCAGTGCCCCACGCGCATAGAGGAGACCTCGCCCATCGTCCTGCGCTACAAGACCCCCTACTTCAAAGCCTCGGCCCGCGTGGTCATGCCCCCCATCCCCCGCCACGAGACCTGGGTGGTGGGCTGGATCCAGGCGTGCAACCAGATGGAGTTCTTCAACACCTACAGCGACCTGGGCATGTAAGCGACCGGCGGCGCGGAGCCGGAGCGGGGTCCCTGGCCCCGTCTCTGCTCCCCACCCCGACCCTCCTCCTCAGCTCCTTCTTAACGCTCTCCCCATCCTCTTTCTAAACCTTCCTCCCGCCTCCTCTTCCACCTCCCTCCTCCCTGCGCTTTTGTTTCAGTGACAGGGCGGGTGTAGGGAGGCTCCTCGCGAAGGCATTTTCTCGTGGTTTGCTTCTGACTCCCCGTGAACGCCAGGAGGACGGTGCGGGGTGGCGAGAACGCGACAAGGAGGGTTCGAGAGACGGGCGTGGGGGTGGCTGGCGAGTGCCCTGGGAGTTTCGGGGCGCCGTCGCGGCTTGATGGGGCTTCCCGGGAAGAGTTTGGGGGGACCTGTGGAGAGAGGAATGGCGTGGAGTGCCGGGGGCGCACGGGCTGTGCCGCGCGTCCTTTGGAAAAGCCCGAGAGGGCTTGGAGGAGAAGGTCCCGGGCGTCCGAACCGGACTTGCTGGTTGTGCCCTTGTTCCCTCGGCTGTTGAAGTCGAGCTCTTGTGCCCCAGGCCGGGAAGCCTGCAGGCGTTTCCATTCAGAGCCTCAAACCCGGCAGAGCCGCCTGTCTGGCTCGGCGCCCTCTGGACGAGTTGTGCGGCGGTGGGGAGCGGGAAGGCACCTTGTGCGAGCAGCCTGGGGCTGGCGCCACGCGGGGTTTTCCTTGGGCTCCGGAAAGTACACGTCTGCTGGCTGTCCAGGGTCCTTACTTGCTCCAGAACTTTGCTAATTGCGGCGCCGGGAGGAATTTCCCAGCGCCCACCGGCGAATCCAGTCCGCGAGCTGGGAGCTCTCCAACTTGTTCAGCAGCGCCGCTCGGTGCGCGCCGAGGTGGGCGGCTGCGGGGAGACCCCGCACGGCGGCGACTCCGTGGCCGCTACCGGGAGCCCGCAGCCTGCCCCAGAACCGCAGGCTGCGGGCTGTCGCATCCAGGACTTTTTAGTTACTCACTTGCTTACCTCCCTGCCGGCCTCCTTGCAGAAGCCGGCTCTGAGCAGTTGGCGACCAGAGTGGCTAAAAGCTTTGGGGCCTGCATTGTACCTGTGTTAACGGTGTTGGTCTAGAGCACGCTAATTAGCCTGCAGCCTCTAGAGAAACCTTTTTCTGGAAACCCAGCCTCATTTCATGTATTAGCCGAAGACTCTGGAGCTCCCAAGGTTCATGCGTTGAATATATGGGGCAAGAGAGTTTCTATTTTGAAACGCCAAACTGTCTTTTGTAATGGCAGTTCGCAGGCTTTGTACTGCACTCTGAGAGCCTGGAAGTTAACACTAGTCATAGGTGCTGAAAGGAATTTTGGCGGGTTGTTTTGTTCCCCCTGCCTTACCCACAGAGTTTGAACTTTTCTCTTTAAGCATAAAAACTCAGTGCTGGAGGAAGCTCATTCCCCGTGAAGATGGGCGAGAGCCTAGTTTCTTCCTATATGCCTCTGTTCACTCTGTTCTTATCTTTCTGGAAGACAGCCGGATGTAAGCAATGGGGGACATATTATTTTGGGTGATTCATGCCATTTAAAAACAGACACACCCTCCAAAGTATGATTATATCAAAACACAGAGGTCTCTTAAAGCTGTTCTTTTAGAAACCCATTATTTCCAGCCAAGCCAGGGAAAGGCCTTCCCTTTTGTCCTGGCCCTGATGGCAGTGTGCACCTTGCGGGGGCGAGGGGGGGGTCAGTAATTGCAGTCTGGGGCCCCTGCAGAGGAAGCCGGGAAGGACTGAGCCAAAACAGCCTCACTTTTCCCCAGACTACACAGCGAGGTCTTTCTGTTGCTTTGTATCTGTTGTGAATCAGTAAAGCAAAAGCAAACAAATAAATAATTTCTTTCCATAAAAGAAAATATATTCTACCTCAGGAAAAGCAGAGTTGAACTTCTTGAATCTGGGGGAGCGTGTGTCCACAGTGGAACCAGCTTTATCGGGGATGAACCGGTGTTAGCTCTGAGGGGCACTTACTCCCTGACCTTCCCTTGCTGAATTCTTGCCTCTGGGGCTTGGAAAGGAGCTTTGCTTTGAAAGTGCTGCTGCCGGTATTTTAAGATTCTTGGTGTTTATATCAATGGAAGCAAAACAAAACCCAAGAAATTGTGAAGCATATTATTGGAGATCCGGATCCAGAGCCCACCTGTTTTCACACTTGCAGTAATTGCTCTGTTTAAGCATACTTTGGGCCAAATTTGATTGAACCCACAAAATATTTATGCCCTGAAAACTTAGCCAGTGCAGACTCTTTCATGGGACCTCATATTGCACAGTCTGTTATTACACACTTTAGCCAGTATCTTGAGTGGGGGAAAAAAACACCAGAGGCTGAATTTTCACCCCGTGCAATGCTCTTGTTACATGAAGCATGATATGATCAGAGGGTGTGGGTTAGAAAGCTGCCTTTTCAACATTTTAAAAGGGACTGCCGGAGGAAATCCACAATTTAAAATGGCAAGAAACTTCTGGTGACAGACTTAAAAGAAAACATGAGCTTTTGTGGTTTAAAGTTTCAGCATTTCCAAGAAGGAGTAGGTTTCTGAAGGAGCATTTGAAATAGTTGATGATCATGATGGCTGGAGCTTAATTTGAACTTGAACTCAAGTGATTTGGAACTTCTTCACATGATTGCATAGAACCCAGGCTGGTGAATACTCACGTCCTCTTATCTATTTCTCCTTTGGCCCTGGTGAACCCCGCTAGTGCAGCCCCAATCCAAGTCTTCATCTTTTGGGAAGGAAGGGCCTCTGGTTTTTTGTCAATCGTCCCATCAATAAACAAATATCCATCAGGCACCTCTCAGAAAGCAAAGGACCAAGCAGGCAGCCTCATAGTTCCTCATGTAGGAGAGAGGGAGGGGCACGTGCAGAACAAAGCTTTGCTCCCAAGTGGTGTAGCAGAAATGCTGGGAAGAGGGGCGGGAGACCAGGCCAGGTCTTCTAGAGGCAGAAGGATTGGAGCTGGATGTGAGCAATGGGTAAGATTCAGCTGGATAAGGAGGGGGCTTGTTCTAGAAGGGAGGAACAGCAAATACATGGGGACAGGAAAGTCTCAGGTATCTTAGGAGAGCATAAGGAGGCCAGGGTGGGGCTTTCAAGTAGGAGAGCAGTGGGAGGTGAGGTCCGGAGGCAGGCCAGGGTCTGCTGGGAAAGGCCTAGGACAGAATGACCTGGAAGAGAGAAGGCTGAGGTCCCGTCTTCTGAACCAGTGCAGAGAGGCTCTTCATACTTTCTTCCTACCTCCACAGCATGCAGGGGCTTTCAACAGAGACGTAAAACCTTTGTGATGAAACGGTTTAGAAAACTAAAGTACGCCACCCAAGAGGTTTCCAGAGTAAGGTGTGGACAAAGAATGGGGTTCATGTTTCAAGGATGAATGAGGTGAAGCTGAGGTCAAGGGGAGAACAGACAATGGCTAACGGCGCTCCCCACTCTCTCTGAGCCCGTGTGCGTCGTCTTCTAGAGCGGTAAAGGAATTGTGGTCAGCCTGGGGCTGGGAGACCCTTGGCCTGGGTGAAAACTGCAGAGCTCATAACTCGCTCCTGCCCATCTCTACTCCTTCCTCAGAGCCAATGTTGATGAGACTTGGACTCTACCTGCCCACCTTTGTTGCCAAACCAGTCCAAACAAAGCTAGTTTCTATCCATTCCAGAATTATTCGGGCGCAGTTTGTGATTTCCATGTTACCATGCCAGCAGGTGGTTTTGAGAGACTCACTTTTTCAGCAATATTCCGCATAGTTGACAGATCCCTCCATCTTGAATCATTCCCATCTGTTAGCTTTATGCTGTTCTTCTAGCATTTTCTCTATCTTACCTCAGAGTACAACTCATCGGGACATTCCCCATCTGATCCTTTCCCAGGGGAATTGTATCCATCCCAATGGCGGTAGATGGCCTGTGTGATACGCGGTCACCCGCAGTACAGGTGTGTGTGTGTCGATGGACCTTTTCCACTTGTCTGTCTCCAAGGCATCTCAGGCTTCGTGTATCCAAACCGGAACTCTTGATTGTTGCCATAGTCCCTCCCCAAATCTGCCCTCCATCAGTCTACCCCCATCTTGGTATAAAGAACACCTCCAGGGGCGCCTGGGTGGCTCAGTGGGTTAAGCCGCTGCCTTCGGCTCAGGTCATGATCCCAGGTCCTGGGTTCGAGCCCCACATCGGGCTTTCTGCTCAGCAGGGAGCCTGCTTCCTCCTCTCTCTCTGCCTGCCTCTCTGCTTACTTGTGATTTCTCTCTGTCAAATAAATAAATAAAATCTTTAAAAAAAAAAAAAAAAAAGAACACCTCCAGCCCCTGAGCTGCTCAGGCTAAAACCTCTGTGTGTCATCCTAGAATATTTTCCCACACATCCAGTCCATTATCAAAGCCCGCTGGTCCCGTCTATGGCGTAGCTCTGTAATCCGGCCACCACTCAAATATCCTCACGGGACAGGTCACCGTCCGCCATCACCTGCTCCAGCAGACGGTTTCCAGCCGAACTTCCCACCTTCATTTTTGCCTTCCCTCCCGTCTTTTCCCCACACACTGGCCAAGTGAGATTTTCAAAATGTAAATGTCATCACTTTCCTGCTTTAACTCGTTTACTGACTTTACATTGTAATCAGCAGGCTCTGTGAAGGCCTCTCCCCAGTCCCTGAATTTCTGTTCTTAAGCTATGTCAGCCTGCTTCCGTTTCCAAAACAAATCACTACTTCATCCCAATTCAGAACTTTTCCTTGTGTTGATCTCTGTCTGAAATGCTCTTTTTGCCCACCTTTTTCTAGCACATTCCTACTTCTTATTCAGGTCTGAAGCCTGACCTCATCAGAGGCCACCCAGATTTCACAGTTCAAATTAAGATGCTTCTGTTCTCTTGAATGAGACACTATCCTTTTACCTGTTACCGTTTGTAAGAACGTAACTGTACGTTTACTTCACACCTGACCCTTCTGCTAGAATATAAGCCCCATGAAAGCAGATATCTCATCCGTTTTATGCTCTCTGAA